ATTACTTATATATAAATAATTATTGTCTACATTTAATTTTTGCTTCTGCGTCACAATTAACATTTTTAGCTTCTAAATCAAATAGAAGGTGGGAGGTGATTTTAATATAATGGATAATAGAGGGAGGTAATTTTAAAAACAGATTGTAGAAAGTAAATACAATGTAAAAATAAATGTGTGAATGAATGCATGTGTCATTGCATCAATTAATTGGCAATTTTATCGTTCATCCAGAATTCATTGGACTGTTTTTAGCTAAATAATTTTAGCGTTTTTGTTATGTTAATGTTAATTAATTACTTTTAGATATTTTTTTATTTATATATTTTAGTAAACTTCCGTTTAAGTTTTTCTTTAGAAAAGGTTAAGGTATATTTTTATTATATTTCATGAAAATAATGTAATTATATTAAGTATATATTAAATATACATGAAACTGTTATATAAAATGTAAATAACTTTAAACAATATTTTTTGTTAGTTTTTTATATTTTTTTAGTTTTTCTTTATTACTGTAATTAATTTTTAGTTGTAAATAAAATATGTTGACTTTCTACATAAATGGAACTCATTTTCTAATTGTGAAACGTATTGTAGGTGTCAAACATGCAAAAAATTTTCATTTTAAAACTTTTTTAAACCAGAAGTTTTGAAATATAGATATTAAAATATAAATATTTCATAATTTTAAAACGGAAATTTTTTCTTTTAGTAACACGTCAAAAAATTGAATACAAAATGAATTAATTTTAGATGTGGAAAGTTTCCAATTTCAAGCAGAATCTTTAATAAATATTCTAAAAATATTTATGAATAAGCTGTACAAAATCAATTGATTTTGTACAGATTATTCTTAAATATTTTTGAAAGCCGTTTACCGAAACATTGAAATCTGTCTGAGGATATTTTTTACACTTCCAGTGACAATTGCATCTTGTGACAGAAGTTTTAGTAAGTATTGAAGATAATAAAAAACTATTTAAGGTATTCAATGAGCCAAGACAGATTATCAAATTTGTCTATCATCTCAATTGAATCAACACAAACAAACTCACTTAATTATGATAATGTTATAAATAATTTTGCATCACTGAAGGCCGGAAGAATAAACTTAAGATGACATTTGAAAAATATTTTTATGATTGAAGTTTGATAGAAACGAAAATTAGTTTGACCTTTTTTTTTTTTGGAGGGGGGTGAGACACGCCAAATTTCAGTCTTATTTTAGCTTGCTAAGGCAATGGTATTCATAAAAGAAAGAGGTTATTTTGTTAAACTTAAATTTTGATTATTTTTTTGCTGTTTAATAAAACTTTACGTCATTAGATTAAGTATTTCGTAATTTTATTTTTTAAGTTAGGGTTGTTAACTTTTTATTTAGGTTTTTTTAATTTAATTAGGTTATTAACTTTTGTTGAGTTTTCGATAAAGAAAAAACTTTTAGACTCTATTTTTGTTTCGGCAAGTTTGAAACGATTACTAATTACCTAATTTTGAACCGAAATGAATTTCGCTTTACGAATTTCACGATATTCTACTGATACATTTTTGTGGTGTCGAAAATTCTAAAAATTGCACCGAAATTATTTTCGCTTTCGAAACTTTGAAAATTGAATCGAAATATTATCGAAAATTTACCGAAAATAATTTTTCACTTTCCAAATTTTATAATTTGCATCAAAATATTTTTATATTATTGAAATTCTATAAATGGCACCAAAACATTTTTATCACTTTCGAATCTCAATAATTTGTATCGAAAAATTTGTATGCTATCAAAATTTTAAAAATGGCACCGAAGCAATATTTTATTATCTCTATTTTTATTTTTTTATTGTTATTTAGGTGCTCCAAGAAGACCGAACGGTTTTGTCACAGAGCACCGCGTAAGTGCATTTAACCAGGAAGTTCACGCCTCCTTCCTTACCGTGACGCAAAAATATGTCCAAGCCTTGTTTCGAACCTGGAGTTGTTCCAAGGGGCTGTTCATATGTATGAAAATAATTCTGCCTGGGAGAGAAAAACAACAATAATTTAATGTAATATTGTTTGTTTCCCAGATGTATTCGACTTAACTATGATAGTCTTAGGAGCGATTTTTAAATCTAGAAAAGTTGATAGAACACAAACGAGGTAAAAAAATTTCTTGCCTTGCATGTGCCGGATGCATGTTAATATGAATTTATATAATAAATATGTAACTATTGTTAACAATGAAATTTTATAATAAATATGTAATTATTTTCTTATTGTTGTGCTAAGAGTTGACGATTTTTTGTCTGGCCTTTTTCTGTGACGCGATTTTTTCGCTAATGCATTTTTCTATCTACCGGAACAAATATGTTGCCAAGGCCTTTCTTTGATCTTAGACGCAGACACATTAAAATATTGCATAGTTTTTGCTAGTTTTATTTATAGTTTACTTGTTCTTAAAAAACATTTATTTTTTAATTTTTTTATTTCAAATATCGGGAAAAAAAGGGTAAACTTTTTTCTTTATTTATACATTTTTATTGAATTTTTTTCAAAACTATTATAGCATCCCTTATTATTTATCCCTTACCAACATAATAATTAAAAATATTTAAAAAAGTTTTTCTGCCATATTTTTTAAACTAACTTTTTTTGGCTAGCGTTTTGGGATAGTGAATACAACCACAGCATGAAAGTTAACTCTCCAGAGTTAATGCCAACTTTCAAAACTTTTTTGTTTTTGTTTTAACGAGATTTTATTGTGTGGCTAAAAGGTGTCAAGACAGTACGCGACCAAAGATACATATATATAAAAATATTAGTTTTATTGCTTATTTTTAAATCTTATTTAGTGAAAATGTCACGATCACGAATATATGGTTACACCTATTGTTGTGTGTATGTATATATATATATATATATACATATACTATATATATATAAACATGTATATATATATATATATATATATATATATATATATTTATATATATATATATATATATATATATATATATATATATATATATATATATATATATATATATATATATATATATATAAACATGTATATATATATATTTTATATATATATATATCTATACATATATATACATGTATATATATGTATATATATATATATATATACATATATATATATATATATATATATATATATATATATATATATATATATATATATTTTAATTTATTTATTTCAGTGATCAAATGCAAATATAATAATCCATTTATAATTTGATGAAGAGGTGCTACACCAGGCCCCTCTATGCTGACGAACATGGAGATACAGACGCTACAGACAAAGCAGCAGTTGTATCTATAAAGTTACTTTCTTATGTTATTTTTGAAAGCGTTGGTGGATTGAGCGTTCACTGCTTCTTGCGAAAGCGCATTCCATGGGGCGACAATTCTGTTTGAAAAAAAGTTATATCGCTCCTCACAGTTTTTTACCATCTGACGTTCTAGTTTATGGTTATGGCCTCTTAGAATATACTTATCTTTACTTTTTGAAAATTTTTGCGGGACGACAAAACTGACAAGCTCGAGTTTACGAATGATTTTGAATTGCTCGATAAGATCTGCTCTTTTGCGGCGTTCTTCAAGAGTTGGTAAACCAAGCCGTTGGAGTCGATCTTCATAGGACAGGTGTTTAATAGTCGATATTGTTTTTGTTGCTCGTTGTTGAACCTGCTCGAGAATGGTAATGTCTGATTTTAAATACGGTGACCAGGCTTGTACAGCAAACTCAAGATGGGGGCGAATGTAAGTGAGATACAGAGTGCGCCATAAATAAAAACTGCGACTGCGAAATGTTTTTTTGAGTCGCCCTAGCATTCTATTTGCTACTGATGCGGCTGACTCTATTTGCGGTTTGACTTTGAGATCATTCGAGACCATCACACCAAGGTCTCTTTCGACTGCGGTTTTTTCGAGAGGACGACGGGTGCCGTCGACGTTAGACATTGAGTATTTGTACGTCGACTTGTTTCATCCGCGCCCAATATGCATTACTTTGCATTTCTCAACGTTGAAATGCAAGAGCCAAATGTTTGACCATTCCACTGCTCTGTCAACGTCATCTTGGAGAGTGATGCTGCCCGACTTCTTTTTAATTATTCCTATTATTTTGCTGTCGTCGGCAAACAGTTTCATATGATGAGTAATTCTGTCCGGCAGGTCGTTTACAAAGATTACGAATAGCAATGGGCCCAAGACCGAGCCTTGAGGCACTCCACTATTGACTGCTTTCCATTCAGAAGTAGTGCTGTTTATAACCACTCGTTGACATCGATTGTTTAGCCAAGCTGCAATCCAATCAACGAGAGCGCCTTGAATACCGTACCCTTTCAGCTTATGAAGGAGGCGTTTATGTGGTACTTTGTCGAACGCCAAAGTCTGTGTAAATGACGTCTACTGCGTGTCTGCAGTGAGTTGCTTCCGTCATGATGTCCAGAGTTTCTAAAAGGTTTAATACGCATCCTTAACGATGAACAAAGCCATGCTGGTTTGGAGAAATTAGTTTATTAGCAACGCAGTGTTCCATTATTCTTTTTTGTAAAATACTTTCCATAATTTTGCAAGGTATTGAAGTGAGCGAGATTGGCCGGTAGTTGGATGCTTTTAGCCGACTCCCCTTCTTGAAAATAGGTGTTACATTCAATTTTTTCCACAAGTCAAGAACTACACCAGTTGCAAACGAGCGTTTATAGATAAGCGAAAAAGGCTTGGCAAAGGTAGCTGAACATTTACTGAGGACCCGTGGATGTAAGCCATCGTAGCCGGTTGATTTTCTTTCATCAAGGCTGTTTAGGCATTTTTGTACAATGTTGATAGAGAAAATTGATGGATCGATGACACAAACTGCTTCTGTACAACTTTCAAAGCCTGGCATTGAACCTTCGGGCTCTAAAACAAAGACTGATTGAAAATAGTCATTTAACGATGCGCATATATCACCGGTATCGGTTGTCATGTTGCTATTGACTGTTTCAAGCGATGTAATGTTGTTACTGACGCTCTACTTGCTTCTTATATATGCATGTAAGCGTTTGACGGTTGCTTTCGAAATCCCTGAGGAGTAGCTCTTCGTACTTCTGCCTACCAGCTTTGATCATTTTTTTAATTTTTTTGCAGGCAGTACGATGCGATATTTTGAGAAATTTGTGCGTATCTCGACCTGCATTAATGTACTTGGCCCAAGAAGTACGTTTAGCTTTGACCGCCTCAATAAGTTCTGGTGTTACCCATTGCTCCTGTTTTCCTTTAAAGGGAGTGGTAGTTGACGGAATGTGTAAGTTAGTGGCTTCATTGTACAAGTTTACTAGAAGTTGATAATCTTCGTTTGCATTTAGTCCAGTGAATACTGTTTCCCAGTCAACAGCTGCAATATGTGCTGATATTGCTGCGTAGTTTGCTCGACTCCAAATGATTCGAGGTTTTAGCGGCAATGTTGGCGAATTGTTGAGGCATGCAACAGTAAATTGGCCTTCGATGAAGCAGTGTGCTTGGCCCATTGGAGTGTCACCAAGAGAATCGCCTTGTTTAATGAAGATTACACGGTCTGGCTCATTTGTTATAATAAGGTCGAGTGTACTAGTAGGCTCGACGTGTCGACTACAACAGTAGGTTGGGAATGTGATAAGCTGAGTTAAGTGACTTTCATTAAGACACTTCTGGAACTTGATGTCGCCTTGACGCTCACCTCTCACGTGAGCAACAGTTGCAATGCCACTGTTAACTTCGATAGGCTCATAAGATGTATGGCTAAAATTGAAATCGCCATACAGTAGCATTTCAGAGCAGTTTATTTTAGGCAGTATTTGTTGAGCGGTAGTGATCGATGTGATACACTGAGTAAGATTTTGATCATTTTCGTCGTGTAAACGATATAAGCAACCGAGGAGAAATGATTCTTGACCAAGTTTTATTTTTCGCCAGATTTGCTCAATTGATGTTGAATTGAGCTGAGTAGAACTAACTTCGCTGACTATGATATCGTCTCTTGTGTAAATTGCAACTCCACCGCCCCTATTGTCTCTGTCTTTGCGATGTGGTTGGTAGCCGGGTACGGCAACGTCTGATAAATCTGTGAACCAAGTTTCCGCAAAAAAAATGACGTGTGGCCGGCTGAGTTTATGTAGAGCTGATAGTCTAGCAAAGAGCTCTTGGCGTTTTTCATTGTTGAGTGAACATGGGTTGTTTGCCCAGTAACATAGATGGCTAGATGAAACTGTAGAAGTGTCGGATTGCATCGGTTTTATTTTTGCTTTAGTTATTGGTCTAGGAAGTCTAGTTGGCAGTGGAGATTTCTGAGTTAGAAGCGGCTGTGCGGCTAGCGTAGTCTGACAGAGCTCTGGCTGGGGATGAAAATACGTAGCACTGATTGGACGTTGATTCGATGACGTCGATGCAACAGATGTGACCTGTTCTTCGATGTATAACATTCCGAAACGGATTATCGAGAATGTTAGCAGCGGCAAGTTGATCGTTAAGCTTTATGAGTTGGGTACGTGTGGTGTTAAACTCGGTTTGTTGCTCTGGCTTTCTGTCTTCGCGTACGTAGACACCCTTGTATATCTCTTGTTTGTGGTGTGCGCATTTTTTGAGTATTTCCGCTCGAGATGAAAGATTTGATAACGAAACCTGGATAATGTTCGAGTTTGACAATTTTGTTTTGTTTTTGCTCGATTTGAGGCGGTTAACACGTGCGATACCAGTAGCATCCTCCAGTCCTGTTGCTACAAAAAAATCCTCAACAAGCTTTTTATTGTCTACAGTGCTAGACTTATTAAGACCGACTAAAATGACATTTAACTCACGACTTCGAATATTTTTATTTTGAGCAGCGATAAAAGTGCTTAACTGCTGCCGTTGCTGTTTGCTCCCATCCGATTTGTCCTTAAGCAAAGATGCAAATGATAGTTTGGCTGTTGGTTTTATTTCTTTCAACTCATTAATTTGTTTTACCAGTAAATCAATTTTGTTTTTCAGGGCTTTTTCTCTTAATTCACTAGATCGTTTCTCTTCCGCTAGTGCAACAAGTAGAGCTGCGATCATAAGAGCAATATCGTAACTTTTAATGAGAGTTACATTTAAATCCTTTAGATCTACTGCCGCTTTAAAAGCGTTGGTAGCTATTTCTTTGATTACTGACATAATTAGTAATGAATGCAATTAATAATTGCAAGTTTTTAAATTTTTAATATTTGTTACAATTTATTACAAATTTTAAAAATTTAATTTAAAATTTAAAATTTCAATAAAATTAATATTCTATATGATTGTTTATATATATATCTTAATATATACTTTAATATAATAATTAAATATAATAATTTAATATAATATATATATATATATATATATATATATATATATATATATATATTATTAAATTATATATATATATATATATATATATATATATATATATATATATATATATATATATATATATATATATATATATATATATATAATATAATAATTTAATATAATAAATTTATACGTATATAACTTACTAATATTAGTAATTTGATTACAAATATTAGTAAATATATAGTGATAAATTTTCCGTAAATATATCTATTAATTAATAATTTTGTCAAGGCACAAAAAGTTGAAAAATTAAGACAAAAAAGTTGAAAAAATATTCTCAAAACTTGTTGAATAGAACAATAGATTAGAAAATATCGATTACACGCTTAAACTTTGCCGATTAAAACTACGAGCAAAAATTGATAGGTTTACAATACTCTTTAAAACAAGAAAAAAGGAAAAAAAAATTTGAAAAGTCTGTAAAAATATAATCGAACTAAAGCATAAATAAAATCTTAGTCACAACTATTTTTATAATAATAATATAAAAATAAAAAATATATATAATAAATATAAGGCCCCCCCACGCCCTATACTAAATCCGCCACTGATACTATGATTTAAAAGTAGAAATTAATTAATAAGCTAATAAGATGAAGCAATAATAGAGAAAGAAATAATGTCAGAAAAAAAGAATAAGAGCGAAAAGAATAAAAGAATACGAAAAAACAAAAACAAAAATATATAAAATCCTGAAACTTACGCTCCAACAAAAACACGTCTAATCGATTCAAAGGCTTAAGCGCAATATATATATATATATATATATATATATATATATATATATATATATATATATATATATATATATATATATATATATATATATATATATATATATATATATATATATATATATATATATATATATATATATATGATTAACTTAAATAAAAAACTCGTAATAAAAAAGTCGTCAGGATTTTCTATCAGATACTAAATTTTTTATTTAAGTTAGTCAGGCTTTTTTAAATATGGTCTTTATATTCTCCTAATAAATTTTTTATTGTATTACGACTAATAAATGCAAAACTGAATATACAGTACTAGTATATTTTCTACTTCATAAAAACGTTTCGTAAACTTTATTGATGTAAAATTAAAAACTTTCATTTGATTTTATTTGTGAAAACTCTAATTATGTAATTTTTAGGCATATATTATTGTAGGTTGTCTTTATAACTAAAATAATGCAATTTTAGTTGTTTTAAGTTTTTCTTAAAATCGTGCAGTCACATAATAAGTTATTGAGAGTTGCGCTTGTTTTAGGATTTATAATCGGTAAAGTAAGTGATGTTTCCCCACGTAAATTAGCTAAAGCAGCTGTTCTTCTGCAAGAAACAGATGGCACCCAAAGGAATATTGCAAAAATAGTCTATGTCTCGCAGGCTACAGTAAGAAGAATAAGTTCCAAACTCAAAATGGGGGTCAAATTAGAGCGAAATAGAAAAGGTGTGGTCGAAAGAGAATAACAAGAGCTAGAGTTTACAGAAAAATCAAACAAATTATTGAACATAATTGCATGATGCCAGCAATAAAACTGAAAAGCGTCTTGAATGACCAAGGCATCAACATTTCACTTGGATCTTTAAAAAGGAGAAGTTACGAGTTAGGATTTAAGTGTAGATAACCACTAAAGAAGACAAAACTTACGCCTGCGATGATTAAAAAGCGTCTTGTTTAGGCTAAGAAATACTCTTCGTTTTCTCAAGTTGACTGGAATAAGGTAAATTTTATATTTGTTCTCTCCATTCACTTAAACAAATTATATTTTCTTGTTACACAGTGGTTTCCAAATAATGAAAAAATAATTTTTATGCAAGATGGTGCTCCATGCCATAATGCAAAATCCATTTCTGACATTTCTTGCTAATGACATTTCTTGCTAATGAGAGTATCCAGCTTCTTGATTGACCTGCTAATTCTCCAGATATAAACTTTATCGAACATCTATGGGAGCTTGTCAAACGCAAAGTCAGTGTTGACATAATAATAAGTTAACAAAAGCTCACAGAACGACTGATTAAAGTTTGGTGTCGAGATCCAGGTGTTAAAGCATTAACTTCTAAGTGCATAAATTGTATGCCAAGGCGTATCAAAGCTCTTTTAAAGAACTCACTACAAAGTACTAAGTTTTATAACATGCTTTGTACAATATATAGTATGGCATATTATGTCAATATATAGATTATGTAAAAAAAAAATTAAGTTTAGATTGCTTCTAGTGCATTTATATATATATATATATATATATATATATATATATATATATATATATATATATATATATATATATATATATATATATATATATATATATATATATATATATATATATATATATACATATAATATATATATATACATGTATATATATATATACATGTATATATATATATATAATATATATATATATATATATATATATATATATATATATATATATATATATATATATATATATATATATCAGAACTCAAGTATAGAAATGAGATCTGATCCATCGATATATATATATATATATATATATATATATATATATATATATATATATATATATATATATATATATATATATATATATATATATATATATATATATCAACAGGCATTATCAGGCAATATCAATCCTGTTGTTATGGTGGTTTCAAATAATCATTTTGTAATGAGGAAATAAGAGACTGCATGAGTTAACTGGACATAATAGAAACTATAATCTACAAGAGTAGAATTCGGAATTGATGTCAATGCCTCTACAATATGGCTGTGGTTAAAAAAATTGAACAATACATTTAAAATCTTTAGAGTTATTAGTAAAAGACACAATACTGCAGAGGTAAAAGAAGAAAGAAAAACATATGTTTCATGGTATCTAAACCTGACATTGCAACAACGTTTTAGAATGATCATTTATATTGATGGTTATTAAAACTTTTTTGTAAGTGTTGTCAGGTCAAGTCAAAATTTCTCGTTAAAGTCAAAGAGCTGATGTTCAAGGAAAAGAAATTAGACGAATAAGAATTTTTGGAGCACTTAGGAACAGTCACAGTAAAAGGGTGACACTTAAATAATTGACGAATAACGCTAATTTTGCAATGGATTTAATATATTGTTTCCAAGAAAGATCGGAAGTAAGAATTATTCCTAGAAGTCGCAGGGTAGATGACTCAAACTAAATTAATTTAAAAAGGGACCTTTTGAATTAATATTGAAATAGAGATTAAAACTAAATTGTGAAAAAAAGAAATTAAAAATCCCAAAAGCAGAATAAGATTGAAATAACTCTAAAGATAATAAATTCAATATTATTAAAAATTAGAAGAAAATAGCTGATATCAAAATAACTAAAACTTGAACAATGATCTATAGACTGCCAGTCCAATTCAAATCCACAGATAATGAAGTAGCACTCCTTGCATGTTTTTTTTCCTATTTAACTTATTAATTTATTTAGCAGCACTCCTCGCATGTTCTACCAATTTGTCAGCCGATGTATGTAAGCATTTTTCAAAACTTTTGCCTATTTATTGTTTTTAATAAAATTCTACATTTTCTGTAAAAGTGGTTTTTATTAATTTTATTGTAAAGTTGGTATTTATTATCTTTGATAAGATTCTACATTCGTGAATTTCGAAATAAATAGTTTTTGACATTAATCAGAAAATTATGATTTTAATCTTAAAAAATTTAAAAAATCTCATAAAAATGCTTAAAGTTTATTTATTTTTTGTATATATTTTTTGTAATTTAAATAGTATTTTTATTTATTATTGCTAAAATGGCGGAAGCCAGCAATAATAATGTTTTTGACATATCAGGAAGGAAAAACACACTAAACCGAAGTAATGACGATGATAAAAATATTAACATTTTT